GCACCAATGTCGACCCACTAACTTGTGTATGTAGGATGCTTATTGTCTTTGTGATTCTTGCATGATTGTCTGTGTATATACATGCTGACCATATGGGTCTTATTTGTTGTTATTATCATATGTGATATTGTGTATGTTGAGACCTTGAGTAGTCTCCATGGTTGATGATAACCCACATGGCGTGCTGTTTGTCCACTGAGACTTCGGGTAGTCTCCAGGGTTGCTGATAACCCACATGGCGTGCTGTTTGCCCACTAAGACTTCGGGTAGTCTCCAGGGTTGTTGATAACCCATAGGTTTCTATTTGTGATGTGTTCTGTGTGGTATTTTAGAGAACTCACTAAGCTCTGTGCTTACGATTTGTGGTTTAAATGTTTTCAGGTTTTCTTATAATAAAGGAGGGGCACGGATCGATTGCATCGCATCCATGGGAGACTTGTGTACGTGATAACTTTTGACGATACTATGATAAATGTTTTAAGATTAAATGGTGTTATTTACGATTTTGTAGTTGTGATTTAAATAAACACTTAAATTTTTAATTGAAAACAACTTGGGTTGAAATTAGGGGTCTTACAGTACGCATCAGAGGAGTACCAATTAACGATGGAATGTTCGATCTCAACAACCACCGAGCCTTCAAACCACCATCATCAACTCCTTCACCTTACCTGAACCACTATATACCACCTATTGATCACTACCGTCCCACCACCTTCAATGTTTCCCTGTACCGATCTGCAGCAAATCAAAAAACAGAAAGATGAGGGGAGCCTTTGGATTATAAATAACCTGGTGATTAATCGATCTAGAAAAGAAGGAAAAACTGCACTCGATTTTAAGAGTGAGAGAGAGAGAGAGAGAGAGAGAGAGAGAGAGAGAGAGAGAAAGAGAGAGAGAGAGAGAGAGAGAGAGAGAGAGAGAGAGAGGGAGATAGATAGATAGAGAGAGAGATATTAAGAGAGTGAGAGAGAGAACAAGAGAGGATGCGATCACATTAAGAAGGGTGAAGAGGGAGGGCATACTGGTAATCGATAGTGGGTGTCAGGAAGGAAGATTTTGGTGATTGATTAGAGGATCATCTGAGCTCCTATCGATCGAAGCAAAAACAGGAATAAGTGTGGGTCTGATTTCTAGTTTGATTTTGTGAGTTTTGGTGGGGTATGATCGATTTTAACGAAGGGATGAAGAGACAGAAATGCTTGATCGATCTTGAGAAAGGGAATATGGAAGATTAAAAGTGTATTGGGATGGGGCTATGTTGTCAGAACATCGGTGGTGTCGTTGAATAATCGGTTAAGGGACTAACTATGAAAAAAATTAAGCTATAGGGGCCATTCATGTAATTTAGAATGATTGGTTAACGGAAGAATGATTAAAAACTAATGATAATGGATTAATTGACATGTACAGTAACAACTAGATGGTCAATTGCGCAAAAAAACATTAATGGTCGAGTCGGACCAAACCCAAAACTTCATTACGCTACAATGACATATTATATATATATATATATATATATATATATATATATATATATGAGAACCAAAAAACTATAAGAACTTAAGAATTTATTTTTCTTCATGACATTTAAAAAAAATATTATTTACTAGTACAAAAATGACTTTTTACCACGCAAAAAAACTCGTCACTATAGACATTTAGTGATGGATTTTTCCATTCAATGTGTTAGGAATGTCGCGTCATTTTTGATAAGTTATGGTGATGATTAATTGTGGTGATTATAACTCATTAAAAGGTAAAAGTTTTCACTATATGGTAGTAATTTTCATAGTTTTTTCAACCATTTTTTAAAAAACATCTAAACTACTTTTCATCACATATTATTTTGTTTTCATAACTATTGTTGACTTTTAGTGATATATTTTTTTGTTTGTCGTGGTTGACTTTTAGTTACACATTTTTTTCCTTTGTCATGAATATTGCTGACTTTTAGTCACACAATTTTTTGTTTCTCATTACTATTATTGATTTTTTGCAAGGTTCTAAAAACCTTGAAACGGCTTCGTCATGGCTCTAAGGCTTGTAGTTGACGCTACATATTAAAAAAATTATATGTTAAGTCGTATATGTATATAAAAATGAATTATATTAGAAATATATATATATATATATATATATATATATATATATATATATATATATATATATATATATATATAAGATTTGACACAAGATACCAAATCAACTATATTAACCGTTATAGTAATTATAATTATATTTTACATGTTAAAACATAATTGTGAAACATTTGGTGAAATTTTCAAATATAAAGGTGAGATACAAACTAATAATGTCATCTAAAGTCTTAGTGATAATAAATGATGAATTAAACATTACTAGATATGATTTACTTTCTAATCGGTAGAAATTATTTTTCTTTATCTTTTTGGGATTATGCCTTAATCACTATCACTCGTACTTTGATTACAAACACCAACTAATATGTAGATAAAAAAAACTTTATAATATTTTATATTTAAAAGCTCGATCCTCATCTTACTTAATGTTTGGTGGATTTGAAGCTTATGTTAGACTACAGCTTCTAAACCCAAAATCTACTATCTACATATTGTAGAATACTCTAAATGTTGGTTAGATTATTTATACAAACCTACCAAAAATAAGTTTACTTATTTTCTGAAAGCTTAGTTATCAGAAAACGAACTTCTAATGAAAAAGAAAATGGGAGGCACATTGAACTTAAAGAGGCTTAAGAACCATAGCCTGATGTAGTGATAGTTTGCACTAATTACGTAGAGGGATTACTAAACAAGAATAATAGTTTTTCATAAACAAAAACTGTTCACATATATAGTAAGAATCATCTACAACATGAGAAATATAATCACTCATTAATGGTATCTTCTTGATGGTTTCTGGTAAATCCATCAACTACCAAAATGTTATATCAGATCTTGAATATGATAAATGAATTTGAGTCATGAACATTAAGACGTAATCAATGTCTAATAATCAAGTATGGTCTTGATTAATCTTCCTCTCTATAGCAAGGCTACAAAGAGTAAATAGTTATTCTAGAAAGAATAGATACATGGATATATCTATACACATTAACAAAGATTTGTTATAAAAGGATTTTCTCATACTCATGTCATTGACTACGATCAAACCTTTCCACAAGTAGTTGTGATTAGATCAACAATGATATTATTTACCATAACTACATATTCTTTATATGAGATATGTCAAATAGATTTCAAGAAGAATCGAATTTCTTAATAGACATGTACTTGAAGATGTCTATATAGCTTAGCCAGGAGGTTCTCATAATTTATGTTATCATAACTTAATGTGTAAGACTTAAAGATCCACTTATGGATATAAAACAAACATATCATGTTTGGAATCATCCTTCTAATATGTAAACACATAGTATGTTTTTTGTATTAAAATTAAGATAACATATGTGTTTACTAAGAACTAGTGGGAGTAATAGTGATATTCCTAATCTTGTATGAATGAGACATACTTAATCATGAGAAATTACATTCCGACTATTCAAGACTCTTTCGCCCTGTCTCGGAAAATGATTTTTAAAACGAAAGACTTAGGAAATATAAGATACATTTTTGGAACGTATGATCTACAGAGATAACTAAAGATGAATGTTAAAGTTTTAAATTATTTATGCATATATTGACATTATGTTGAAAGAGATCACGATACAAGATTCCTTTGGATGACTCTTGACATTGTCACGTGACAACATTTTGAGCTTGACTCAAAATAACCTAACACATAGGTTTGAGTTATATAAAATGATTTATATTCTATTCGCTTGACTCTAACCCAATTTGTTTAATTTTTTGTGTCGTGTCATTTTAACCCGTTTACTTAAACGTATCAAAATCTATTACCAAACCCCGCTATTTTCATGTCATGTCAGGTCTTTTCAGGTCTAGTACCATCCTAACCGGAAGTAGCTTCTTTTCTTCTTGTTATATTGATATTTTTAAAGCCTAAATAGTGCTTAGTTACCTTCTCATAAGTTTTTATTATATAAGTGTTTTTAAACATTTAGGATAATTTGCTACTCAATTATACAATTAAGCATTCTTAAAATACTCTAATCTATATTATTTCTAAATTTTTTTTGACAACTTATGTGATCCGGAACAAAAAGGTTTTTATTTTTTTCTTCTATGTTGATACATCTATAGATTTAATAGAATATTTTTAGGATGGATATAATACTTAATATCTTTCGCATAAACTTATTAACGCATTTATTGTACGTCTGATCTTTTCTTTTTATTGAAAAAGGTATTTGTTGCATAAATTAATGGTAATGTATAAACTATAAAGCAAGTGGATTTGGAATAGAATTTTTCAAATGAAAGGTGTTCAATCTTTATCTCTTTATAATCTTTTTTATGCTTTACTTCCAAATACATTTTGTACGCAACCAACCTGTGTGTTTGTCACAATGACCCCACCAACGACTCAACGAGACACCTTCGCCGAGAAGATGGTGACTCTGGCCCCGTATATGGTGCCAAAAGCTCCACTTTTTTACTTTGCATGGTTTCTTGGCTGCTCTAAATATGGTCTTGTTTTTCTTTTTTCTCTTTTTTGGTGAAAAAGCACAAACAAATATGTGTATAAGGAGTACACAGAACCACCCAAGTGCTTTTAATTTACTTCCACTCGCTTTTTGCTTTCATACTTGCAAATCTCTCTCTCTCTCTCTCTCTCTCTCTCTCTCTCTCTCTCTCTCTCTCTCTCTCTCTCTCTCTCTCTCTCTCTCGTTATATATATATATATATATATATATATATATATATATATATATATATATATATATGCCACAACATGACTTCTTGCAACCAAATAGAACTTTCTTTCTTCTTTTAGCAACAAACATGAGAGTTTTTTAAACATTCTAAACATAGACTCTTCTCTCCCTTCTTTTAGTAGCGTGCTCATCGTTGAGTTCTTTGTCTCTCTGAATTATCATGGCGGATGTTCATAAAGGTCTTGATGCGACTGGAATCAAGTTATTTGGCAAGATGATTAACGTACAAGCGATGAGAGGATTGAAAGAAGAGCAGGTAAGTAAATCAGAAGTTGATGATGATCAATCCCTAGCGAATAAAAGGCCAGACAAGATCATACCATGCCCTAGGTGCAAAAGCATGGAGACTAAGTTTTGCTATTTCAACAATTACAATGTTAATCAGCCAAGACACTTTTGTAAAGGGTGTCAAAGGTACTGGACAGCTGGTGGTGCCCTTCGAAACGTGCCAGTGGGGGCTGGCCGTAGGAAGGCTAAGCCATCATATGGCCATGATGCAATGGAGGACAGCTTCTGTGACGTTTCATTTTTTGAAGATACCACAACAACAAGCGGCATCCACTTTGAAAGGATGATGGAGTGGCACTTAGCAGCACAAGGCAGTTTTCAACATCTTTTTCCGGCAAAGAGACGAAGAAACTCCACCGGTGACTTTTAATCGAGAATATATATATATATATATATATATATATATATATATATATATATATATATATATATATATATATATATATATATATATATTAGAAAAGCAATTAAACTGTCTTGGTATCTAGGACCACTGTTAATTATTTGATTATTATTAAATAAGTAATTATTGCGTAAGTAATAATTAGTGTGAATGAGTATACTTTCCATGGTTGGATACGACACAAAGTCTTCTTTGTACTTTACTTATATAGAAAGTCTATATCCTATCCAGCTGGTTATCCTAATTTCTCGCCGATTACAAGGAAATCATTAGATTAGAGCCGTGAGGATATTTTACAAATAAAGATATAGGATCACCAAAATATATCATATATTTAATATTTTATGAAAAAATTAATATATATCTATTATTTATTTATTTATTTTTTGTTATATTCACATGTAGAATCTATTAATTTGTTCTTTTAATTTTAACACTTATTTTAATCTATTGAATAGAAAGATACTTAAGAACAAAAAATAGAAGGATATTTTTATATTTTTTGCACACAACAAACTTATATTGTAACACCTGGTACATGAATTGAGTATTTGGTGGTGCGCTTACCAAATTGTGCATTGGAAGATTTCACATTTTCGAGGTTTTTAATTGGAATGTTCGATTCTCGATTATGCTTTTCCCATATTTTGATTGCTGGTTTTATAGTCCAAAATAAAGTAAAGTAAAAGGATGAGACGAAGCAGGAAGCCATTAATCGCATTTGTTGAAAATTTGAAAATATGGAATTTATCATAGGGGACGCGAGACGCCCTTTAAAAGGAGTGGTGCGCCTACGACCCATGGGCTGATCGTGTTTTTAGGGTTTTTGGGGGTATTTAAAGGCCCTTAACCCCTAGGGTTTGTTATTTCTCAACCCCCGTCAATCCCTAATCAATCCTTGAGAACCCCTAACCTCCTTTTGAAGGTTTTGAGCCATCCTCTCTCCTCTCATCCATTTCCATGTGTTTTGTGGTTTTGGAGTGATTTATTCTTTGAAGCTTTATCTTTGGAGCTTTGCAACTGAAGAAATCAGCCCTCATCCATCTTATGGACCTTGGTATGTCTTAAAGATTCAAGCTTTATTGGTTTTCATCTTCTGATGTTTGGATATTTGGAGTTTTAGTGCTTTAAAGGTTGTTTTGGTTGCTTTGATGGTTTGATCTATGGAGTTTGGACAACTCCGTGATATAAGTGCAATAATCTACTTCAGATAAGAGGTTTAAGTGGGTAGAGAGTGCATGCAAGAGCTCTCTTTACTCCATGCTTGAAGAAAAATACAATCTTGGACATTTTAGAGGATAGGGATTTAGATCTAGTTTGTTTGGAATGTCTTAATGAATAAAGTTGGAAACTTTATCCATTTATCCATCAAGGAGATCTAGATCTAAAAATTAGAGGTTTGGACTTAATGGTTTAAGTCGACATTCAAGGGCTAGATAGGGAAAGACACGATGCGTCTTTATGAGGACGTGTCACGCCTTTGGGGTTTTAGGCATGCTTGTTGAACAGAGAGTTGAATTTTTTGACCAGTTTGAATTTTAGTCAAAGTTTGGTGGAATTGAGTATTTGTCTAAGGACTGGTCTCGATTGTGATTAGGTGGCTTAGGTTAGTTGTTTCTGTTTTGGAGTTGCTGGTGAGCTTCTGTTTTTTAACTTAGGTGAATTGTCTCACTATGCTATATAATATAGTAGGTGTACTCTTGTGTTAGGATTTGATTAAACTATAGTATGTTGTTAGGCATGTAGACTTGTAGACTGTTACATGTGATGCTAAGTTGTTTGTTTATATGTATTATATATGTTGACATATTTTGTGTTGGGCTGAGGCGTTCCAGCTTTGTGCGGAAGTCCAAGATGTGGGCGAACCAAATTTATGTTGAAAGCCGAAGGGTGAGTTTATGATAAGATCAACATTAAGTGTTATGAGTTTAGACACTCCACAAGGGAGGAGTTGATGGATAGATAAACTAAAGTGTTATGAACCTATGATGTTGTTCAGGCGGATCGGTTTAAGCACCGAGAGCCTTGCTTGTATATATTTATGTTTATTATTCTATATGGTATTTTGTGGAACTTACTAAGCATTGGTTTACAATTGTGGATTAAATGTTTTTCAGGTACTTCATCATATCGTGTGAATACGAAGATTTGACTATACACACACACACACACCTGAATAGTTTTATGATTTGAGATTCCGTGATACTTTTCTTTATAACTCTAATTCTAGATTATATTTTATGAACAAATGGTTTTGCCTTGAATGTACTTAATGAAAATGAGTGTTTATTTTATTTTTAAAAGTGATTTTTTTTTGTGAAAATTAGGACGTAACAAGTTGGTATCAGAACATAGGTTTGAGGGATTTTGATGAAAACTCATGTGATTCAAAACTAAAACTAGGATATAAGAATTTTGTTAAATGTTTTTGAAAATAATATTAAAAATGGTTGGGTTAGAAACATGAAGTCAGTCCCTTGCCATGTTCTTGTCTGATTGTTGGCTTGGGATCATGAACATGGTTCTCTGACTTGACTTTAGTTTTAAAGGGAATATGTGATGTGTATAGTCAACCGAAGCTCAAATAGGAAAGTGATCTCCAAAAATATACATACTTGATATATATATATATATATATATATATATATATATATATATATATATATATATATATATATATATATATATATATATTGTAACGCCTTGTTTCGAATCGTTACCCATTTGGGGCTGGGGTGATGAAATGTAGATGGTTCGGGCATTCAGAATTGGTCTTGGTGCCAAAGGGCATTTTTGTAAATTGGCAGTAGGCCTTTATGGAAATTGGATTTTGTATTCGGGGAGTTTTCAGTTAGGTATGAGTTGATAATAGTGTAGGGTTTCTCGATACCTTTAATTGATATAAGGATGGTCAGAATCGGAGATGTATCGAGAAAGTTATGGCATTCGGAAGGATTAGGGTTTGGGGGAAAACCCTAGTACGCGGGACGTACCAAGGGAGTACGCAGGGTGTACTGATGCGAGGGAGGTTACGCCGTGCGTAATGGAGAATACACGTAGCGTAGTGTGAGGCTGGATCGGGGTGCAAGACCTTGTATGCTGGGCGTATGAGGAGTACGCTGGGCGTACGAGGGTCAGATTGAAACCCTAATATTTAGGGATGTACCATATATAAGCTTAATGTTAACCCATTTCCCTCATTTCTAAGTCAGCCTCCACACTCTAAAAACCCTAAATCGACCTTGTAGCCTCTTGGAGATGTTCTTGAGCTATTGGGAGGCTTTGATGCTTATTTTTGCCCATAGGAAGGAAATAAGAGAAGCTTGAAGTTGTTTTGCTTGGTGGGAAAGCTTTAGATCCGGAATCATCACCTTGTGGGGAAGCTTTTTGAGGTAACATGTTTGCATCTTGGCTTATGTATGATTAGATCTCTTCAGGGCTAGCTTATTGTGATTTTGGTATTCTTTTTTGAGATTATGGATGAGTTAGGTTGTGTAAGGGTTTACCCTTTCAGATCTGAGCTTGTTTTAGTACCTTTGAGCATAAAGGTGCAAGCTTTATGTGTATTATGGAATCATTCATGCATTAAGTTAACCATTAAGTCCCTTTTTAGCTTAAGAGCTTCTTCTAGTCAATTATGAATGTAAAGTTGGCAACTTTACGTGGTTTTCCAGCTCAAGGAGGTCAAATCTGTGGTTTGGAATGCTTTTTCTTAATTCATTAAGTGAAAATCGGGTTTGGGCTGAATAAGGGTAAGTACGTTGGGTGTACAAGCGGGTACGTGCAACGTACAAGCCTCCAAGCGAGTACGCTGCGTGTACACGCTTGTACGCCCCGCGTACTCAGTCTAGTGGGCTTTGAGTATTTGGGCTTTAGTGTAGGCTACCTTTTGGGCTTGGTGGCTTGGGGCTTTGTTGGGCTATCTGAGAATGTGTGTTTTGGATCAGGGATAAGTAGTGGGCTTTAGGGTAAGGCCCAAGTAAGATTTTGGGCCTAATTTGGAAAAATAGGCTATAAGTGGGCTTTAGATTATTATTGGTTATTGGAAGTTTGGGCCTTAGTCTTGGACCAAACTAGGTGAGGGGTAAAATGGTCTTTTTACCCCATATATGGATTATTGGATTAGGTGTGGAACCTAGTTGTTAATTGGATGTTATTTGGTTGATAGTGTGGGCATTTTAGCGGATCAGCAGTCAAAGAGTATCTGTGGGTTTCAGCTGTCCGAGGTGAGTCTTCTCACTATATCCATGGGTCGAAGGCACCAATGTCGATCCATTGCTTGTTATGTGGAATGCTATATGTCTCTATGATGCTTGCATGAAAGACCATGGGGGAGCCCATGGCATTTGGATATCAGACCATAGGGGGAGCCCATGGCATTCTAGTTAAAGGCCATAGGGGAGCCCATGACATTCCTGGTAAAGACCATAGGGGGAGCCCATGGCACCTGTATGCCTGTCGCATGATATTATGTAATGCCCGTGTTTCTAGGCTAGGCATTAATATTGATGTGATAGTCTAGGTTAACCTTTGTAACTCATTTTGAAGAAATGAAAAGGAATTATGTGAATATTATGTGAATTATGTGTTTTATGCTTAATTATTAGGATTTAATTAATTAAGAATAAAAATGAGTGTCGAAAATAAATATTAGATAAAGCTGATATCTATTTAGAAAGTTGTAGTGGTCGTGACAAGGATTACGGATATATAAAGAATGCCGAAATCCGAGTTATAACGAAGAAGTTATGACATGTCGAAGTTTCGCGACAAAACCGTCACGGTGCCGAATGTCGTAAAAAGTGAGTTTTTGATAAACTACTTTTTAGCCTTAGTGATCTAAACGAAAGTCGTAGTGTTCGTTAAACCGAGAGTATGTATAAAAAGAACGCCCAAATCTGACTTCGTATGAGGAAGTTATGATTTTTCTAAGTTTCAGCTTAGCAGTAGACAGCTAAAAACTCGAA